CTGACAGGTTAATACAGATATTAATATCTTCATATTTATACATGTATATATGCACACACATATATGGTTTCCTGAAAACAGTAGATATCCTCTAAATTAAGACTAATACCCTACTAAAAAACAAATATGTAAAAATGACCAGACACATTCTGAAAGCTACAATAAATAAATACAATATGAGAAAAAAATCCTGTAAGCCACATTCAGCACAACTGGAGTTAATGATAATTTTGATAGGAGTTCAATAGGATCAGAAATTCACCATACTGCTTCTGATTTTTTTCAAAAATACACATTGATTCATTTAGTATCGTCAGAATTACATCTGCTTTGCAATATTAAAGAATTGCTGCATTCCTGCATGCCATAAAATTTTAATTGAGCCACTTTTAAAGATTCCAGAGTATTTGTAACACTGCTGTGTGATAATTATTCTTACTATGCTTGTATAATCACCACACAAAACCTTCAACTTCATGTTAACAGCTAAAGAAAACAATACTGAGCCAAAAATTCTGGGGCAAATTTTCAAGTGGTATAAATCTGTACACATCTGTAACTCTGATGGAATTAAGATGATCTGCATTAGATTCTGTGTATTTCTTTCTGCATGTCAGATTTCCCTAGCAAAGTGCTCACTATATTGGCCATAGTCAACTTTCAACTGTTCTATTCTGGAAAATGCACAAGCTCCTTCCACAGCACAAAGAAGAAAAAAATACATTCCTCTTTCCCTATTTATAATAAAGATGTGTACTGCAGTGGGTTCTGGAGTGGATTTGTGTATGTGTGTTCTGGAATTTTTATTGTTTGGGATTTCGGATAGTTTTTTTGTTTTGTTTCAGGGAGGGTGTTGAGGTATTGGATTTTTGGGGGGGTCTGTTTGTTTGTTTTTTTTAGGATTCAATACAGTTAACACCAAATTCTGTATTTCTCAGTGACACAAATGACTGCATTATTTGGTACTTCAGTCAAATGCCAACTAGTATTTTTAGGTAGTTGATGTAACAGGCTTGTGATCCCTACTTACTGCAAAGAGATGATGCCCTCTCCCTTAATGAGATCGGGTTTTGAAAATGTTTTTCATATTTTTTTAGAATTAAAGAAATATTTGATTTTCAACAGCAAGTTGAATTCCTCCAGTGTTCAGCTTCTCAACATAACTGAAAAATAGAGTATTTCAGTGGTGGCCTTTGTGTAATCAACATGTTCTTGCCACTTTGTGCTTGAGAGGAAATTAGAAGACATTTTCCTTTCATACCTATTTCCAGAGCCAATTTCCTCATCCGTCCCTCTTTTACACATGAGCAATTTTAAGCAGTGTAAATAACACTATTTCTCCCTGCTTTTTATTTTAGGTTTCCTTTCCCAGCCCCCCTACCCTTACAATGCTTTGCCTTCTCATCAGAGAATAAATAGGCAGGAAATTATCCAGTTGCATTTTATATTCATTTTATCGTTAGTCACTACTACTTAATGTATGTATTTATGCAAATTTATGTCTAAAGCAAACGTTCTTTAATCAGTTCGCACATACCTGAAAAGCTTAGGTTTTCAATAGCAAATTAAATAAATGTTTCAGTGACCATTTGGAATGTTTGCAGGCAAAGTCCAGTTGTGTGAGCATACCGAGACAAATGCACATGAGCACACATCCGCACAGAAAGCCTCTACTCTGATTACAAAATATTATCCAAAAAAAAAAAAAAAAAGAAAAGTTGCACAACCTGAAGCCAGAGCCTAAAGTGATGCAAAATGCTGCACTGGTTTACACCTGCGGTGACAGGGGTACAGCTTGCATCCACAAACCAAATGCATCACATCTGTCTATCCACAACCAGCACACAGTAAGGGAATGTCCTTTGTCCTTTGCCTGCAAAGTCAAGTTTAAAGGCTGATCTTGCAATTCATCCTACCTCAAATCTCCACGACTGTTGCTGAAAAACAAGAAGTCCTGCCTATTAATTTCTTTTTTTTAATGTCTTTTTACCTTGAGTGTGCAGCATTACAGCAAAGACAAGGGGAGTTAGAAGTGTCTGAGCGCGGTGCAGACAAATCGCCATGTCACTCAAAAAGTGATCTAAACCTTTAAAGGCTTTTTTTGCACGCCGTTGTCATTAAGGCGCACCGCCTGCTTTCTGATACCAATGGAAACAAAGGAAGACCGGGACTACCAGAACCTGCAGCACTCGCATCCATGGGAGAGCAGCGAGCACCACAACAACAGCAGCAGCAGCAGCAATGGCGAGGGAAAAAACCCTCATTTATAACCAGTGACAACTAAAACCTATGAAGTTTTTAAAAGAATGTGATTGTTGTCAAAAGGAATTGGGTACAACAATGCTGCGTTCAGCTCTGGTTCCACTCAAAGCCGTGGCTGAGGGGCTCTGGGAAAGCTGCTGGAAGGCTGGTGGGCACAGACCAGCAAGAAAGTGAATTTTGCATACTGTACGGATCATCGCTCAGTTCAGGGCAGTCATATTGAATCTGTGATCAACCAATTGTGCTTCATGAAACCGTCAGCCCTCATTTATGTCTAGCTGTTTTCTTCTGTCCTGCTGTAAACAAGCTCTGCTCTGAGCTGTCTCCCTACCCTTATCTGCTTACGAAGATCACACAGACAGACCTCATCAGCAGCCTTAGAGTTAAAGTTAAAGTTACTGCTTCCAGACAGCAGTCCCCATGCAAGCTGGAAGTCAAAAAGAAGAGCAACTTTGGAATGACAGAGTTTTAGTTCCTTTTAGGAAATGCATACCTTAGATTCATACACATACTGGCATGTTATGTCTCTTTCATGAAATTAAATTAGGTGTTCCTAATATGAACAACTGTTTCTAACATCAGCAAACTAGCTCAGCAGATTCATCCATGGTTTTGTTTGTGGGTTGGTTGTCTTGTTGTTGGTTGTTGGGGTTTTTTTATTATTTTTTTTCCTTTGGGGCCTTGTTTGAATACAGCCAAAAGAGAAGTAGCTGGAAATATTGCAGATCTGGTAGGGCTCCAAGAACCTAATAACGCCTGAAATGCTCTAAGGAGTGTAACAATGGTAAAGAGGAACAGGTATGTTGGCTTCTGTTCTCATTCACTTCAGTAAAAGCATTAGTCTTTCAACGATAAGCAGAGCACAGTTTTCAAATGATCCTCTCGCATAAAAAGGGATGGAGCCTCACTAAGCACTTATTCCTCTGTGAACTCACTTACACACACACAAATGCATTAGTTGGTATTTACAGCATTTAATTCTTACAACCAGCTGCTAAGTCCCTGTTAAGGATTTCCTTTATGCAGCTGGAGCTGGAACCTTTTCCTTTCTCGAAGCCTATTACTTTGTCTATTTAAGGGATGGCAGCCAAAGAGAAACAGTTTGATATTTGCACCTGTCTGCTTTAAGCACTCCATGTTAGATTTTGCAAACAAACTCTTCATTGCTAAAGAGAATGAAACTTAGTAGGGTCAAAGACGTTTTCAGCTGACTCTGCAGCAATCAAAAATAAATAAAATTAAATAAAGAAATAACCTCATACTTTGTTTGTTCTAGATAGACAATGAGGCCAAAGGAAAAAGGCTGTGGAAAAGGAGCAGCTCAGTGTGTAGGTGGAAGATGTAACTATGTGTGTCTAGTCTAATAGAATACCAGGCACAGCTAGGCATGAGTGAACCTGCACACTGCCCACGCAGGAGCACGTGGGACAGCTTTTGCCTCTTCCCCTATAAAATGCAGAAACGCTTCAGAAAGAAAACATGTGCAAGGAATCCTTAGGAATTTCTACAAACTGGACTGCCTTTTGAGGACCCAGAGAAAGCTTTGCTACCTAGACGGTCAGACCTATGAGAAAATTGTCTTTAGACGACCAAAAAGAAACGTACTCTCCTTTCATGTGTATGCTCAGAGGTGTGCAAGCGTGGCAGAACAGAGCCCCACTGTAGCTGGAGTGTAAAGCAGTGAGGGTGTACATCAAGCGAGTAACCCTCGTGTGAGCTTTCAGCCTTACACAAACCATCTTAGCACGCTTGCTTCTTGCTAGGAAACAAACGTGGTGCTTTCAGTCAGCTTTCATTTACAATTGCACTGAAAGAAACAACAATCTCACTGGTGTATTAGCTCAGTTACTAAGAAGTAGTCTTTTTATTGCTTGCTCTTAAAATAGAAAAGCCCTCAAAAAACTCAAGCTACAGAGCTGATGACAAGAGCAAAAACGCCAGGGGAAGAAAAAAACTAGAAGGAAAATAAAACAAAGTAGAACATACAATTTATTAAGCAAAACATTGGTACTGCATTTTGATTTCATAAATTGTCCCCATTTGTACTTCCTGTTTAAACAATAACTAACATGATGATGGGTTAAATGAAGTTGAGATTGTCACAAACATGGCCTCACTAGTAATTAATGTAGTTTAATATGGTTGTTGGCACACATCTCACATGACAGATAATGTTCCAACATGTCACTGATAGGACCTTTCAGCGCAGCTTTAGGAGATCTACCAGGCATTGCCGAGGTTGGTTGGGTCAAAGGGTTGAACCATGTGTAATTCAGAACAGAAGAGGTCCCACGGTCACTCCACAAAAACAATTACACTACTTATTTCACTCCATCCCTTGCCCGAAATTCACAAGCCTCACAGTTTCAGCGCAGTCAATCTCACTCTGCCCTGGGGCTATGAGCCACATGAAAATATGTGGTGCTGTGTTTATAAATCTAATCAAAAATAGAAACAGTAGACAAGCACAATGAGGTCCTACTATGGATCATGGGAATTCTCTAAATTCTGAAGGCACTTTTGTTTAACTTCTGTGGGCCTTCTCCTACCATTACATTGTCTGGTACTCTCGTTAATCATCTCCTTGACTTGTCAATGCTATAAAGGAGCCTATGCGTCTGCTGACTTCTCTCCCATCACACTACAAATAATATTATGAAACAGCAATGCTAGGAATAGTCCCTTTAACTTTTCTCTTTGGAAAGCATGGCTTTTTCTTCACTTACCTCTTTCTCCATGCCAGCCTGCCCTTTCTCAGACCTGCAGCAAAAAATGCTTCCTCCTGCAACAAAGGAAAGGCAGTATATCTGAATTTTCAGTGCCCAGTAATTCATACCACTAGATTTAACACTCAGACTTGGAGAGCACCAGCCCGTAAACCTGCTAGGAGGGGGTGGGGGGGGAGGTCTTTCCTGGTGCCATCCCTGCTCTGACCTTGTCAAAGAGCAAAGGGATGATGTAGTGCTGCTCCTTCATTTCTTTTTGAAAACAAATTTGCATCAGATCATAAAAAAAAACCAAAAAAAACCAACAATGTGCTAATAAACATAAATGAAAAAATCATAATTTAAGGTCAGATGAAGCAATGCCAACAAGAAACCCATTTTAAGGGGAAGCAGTCGAGAAGGATAATTCCTATCAGCAGAGAGTAACCACTAAAATGATGCAGTTTACTGTGGAATACACCTTACCTGAAAACTACAATACCAAAGCTGTCAAACACAGGAACACTTCTGTGATCTGGCATTTACATGTGCCTCATTCCCTGAGCTGGGATTTCCATTGAACGGATGAAAATTTTCCTCTATTTTGAGGTTATAATTAAGCAAACTTACAATAACTTCACAATTTATATATCATGTCAGAGAAAAGGCCTCAATTTCATACCAGCTACTTTTGTCTCTAGGTGGGAATAAAATTTATTCATTCAAAATAGCCAGAGAGGTTGCTCCTGTGCCAGCTGAAATCAATGGCAAAACTCAGTCTGACTCCACAGTTGCAGGACCTGACCCACAACAAATAGCAAGCTTCTTCCTTGGCCTGGTTTTCCCTTATGCATTTACACAAACACACTTTCAGGTTATTTTGCTGAGCCTGAAAACAAAACAAGACTTTGAACAATTAAAAATATCCCTTCAGAGTCCCTCAGAAGCCTTAGGTGACCTTCTGGGTCAGAAGATGCCCTGTACAAAGTACATGTTTGGCCCCACTTGAGGAAACTCTCTCTCCTGAGGGCACCAGGCAAAGAAGTGCCTAATTCTGAGTGTGTGCTTAGGTTTCATTTGAAACCAATACAATGGACAGTGGACAGGGCCACAAATGCTCCACGGAAAAGGGCTGCATTGTCACTCCAGTTTCTCTCTAATGAATGAAGGGCTGAGCTTTTGCCCAGGCTTTGCTGATGCTGAGAGCCTGCTGACCTTTGCCATCGCTCCTTGATTTTGGTGCCCTCCTTGGGGTGCCAAGGCCATCGAAGCGATGCTGGGGGCTGTGAATCCAGCAGCTCCTGCTTCTCCTAGAGCCAGCCCTGCCCACACAGCCCCTGCACCACAGCCCACAGCTGTTGCAAGGCTCCCTGCTCCAGGGCACTATGCAACATTGAAAATAAAACCCCAGCACGAACCCGCAGATAGGCTCAAGTCATGTATCTGGTCATTGTATGTTTCAGAAAACAACCCCAGTCCCAATTCCCGATTCCAAAAACTGGGATGGGCTTTCAGAACAAGGTAGTATGTGCCTTTCATTTCCAGCTTCTGGAACTGTACATCCACTGAATGAAACAGGTAACTAGTTTTAAACCCAATAGCATGGCATATTGCTTATTGCCCTTGTTCCCCTTATGGCATGTGGCATATGGGAACAGCAAAAAAGAACCACCTGTACGAACCAAAAGCAGCAAAAGCTCAAAAGAACTCCTTTCCCAAAGTAGAATGGTGAAAAGCTGCCAGCAGAAGAGAACTGACCACGTTAAAATAAACTGTGAACTCAACATTTTCATCCACAGTCAACATCTGTGCACTGTAGAAGAGCCAAAGATGCAGCAATAAGGACTTGCAAAGCCACAACAGCCCAGGAATCCAAACATTGGGTAGACTTGGAGTTTCATCTGAAAAAAATGTGATTGAGGAAATAAGGACAGCAAAGGCAAAGATAGATAAACAATGAGTTCAGAAGAGACATTAATAATGTTAGGGTCTAAACACTGATTTTCTTAGAGTTCAAGAACTTCCTCTAATTTGGGTTTTCCGGGAAATTTTTTAATTTGTTTGCTTTGGTGTGGGACACTTTATTGTTTTTTGTTTGTTTTTTTTTTTAAATTAAGGTGTTAGAAATTGCTTTTCCTTTTTCCTTTATAGTATCAAACATGTAACACATTCAACACTGCATCAACTGATGCTGACTGTGGCCTTAGTTAACCTCACCAGCCTATTTTCTTTAGCTGGAAAACAGTTGAATCATTTGCATTAAACTAGCTTGCAGTCCTTAAAGAGTACAGCAAAAACAGAGTACATGATCTTCTCAGCAATCAAAACACAACATAAAAAGTATTTGAGATCCCACCAGGTATTTTATTTCATACCTGGCTGATGTATTTTGCATGAATTAGGGATGGACTTGAGTTATTTTTAAGTCCATTTGTAGTAAAATGGCAAAGCAAAACAATTACTTAGATGTTATTAAACTGCTTATTCCACCTTTTTTTCTAATTTTTCGCCCAATTATGCTTTGTTTTTTCACAAGGGGAAAAACTAAGAATGCTAGATTAAATATGCAAGATATACTAATAACCTTCTGTAGCGAAAGTAATCTATTTTTAATAGAAAAAATGGGTGAATTAGAGAGATGCACAAAAACACTCTTTTAGCACCACAGCCCTATTAGCAGGCTCCCATCACTGGCCAAGGAGAGCAATGCCAGGCACAGCTGAGGTGTCAGAGGTTGCTGGAGGAGAAACAGCAGGTTCAGAGCAGGAGCAGCAAAGCAACAGTTTGTCATCGTGGGGGCTGCCCTCGCTCCTTCCTCACCTGCACCTGGGGCACCATTTATCACATGCTAAGAACCAGTGCTGTGGGATCTCTGTGCTACAATATCGGCAGAAACCACTGAGTAAATGATAACCCTAACAACCCTGCTTGCAATTCCCTTTGGACTCTCATAAATACCAGGTAGCCAGCCTTGGTCTTTAAGAAATATTTCTTCAGGGGAAAATTACACCTCCAGTGAAGAGAATCCATCAGTCACTTAAATTCAGCAGGACTGACCTTTGAAGCCAAAAGCATTGTGCTTATCCTCCTTTAATCATCAATTTTGGGAGCAGGTCCTTCAAAGTAATCTCAGATCCATGCTATATGTTTTATTTTTAATTTTTCTTTATTTTAATTCATAAAGAAAGGAGCTTACTGCAATGTGTCTTTAGACAATATGTCTTAAGACCATTAACACACTCAAAATTAGGCTCACATTCAATTCCTTCACTTGATAGGTTGTGATGTTCCTAGTCTTTTTCTGTGTGCCTGAAAAGATGAATAGATGATTTTTCTAATGTTAAACCTCAGTAGGCAACTAAGCACCACTCAGCTGCTCACTCACTCTCCCTTTCAGTAGAATAGGGATGAGAAACAGAAGGATAAAAGTACAAAAACTCATGGCTTTAGATACAGACAGTTTAGAACCATAGACTGGTTTGGGTTGGAAGGGACCTTAAAGATCATCCAGTTCCAATTCCCTTGCCATGAGCAGGGACACCTTTCACTAGACCAGGTTCAAAGCCCCATGCAGCCTGGCCTCGAACACTTCCAGGAATGGGGCATCCACATCTTCTCTGGGAAACTCATCACCCTCCAATAAAGAATTTCTCCCTGATATCTAATCTAAACCTAATCTCTTTTAATTTGAAGCCATTCCCTTTTGTCCTGTCACTATGTGCTCTTGTAAAGAGTCCATCTCCATCATTCTTATAGGCTCCCTTCAGGTACTGAAAGGTCATGATTAGAATACCCTGAAGCCTTCTCTTTTCCAGGCTGAACAATCCCAGTTGCCTTAGCCTTTCCTCATAGGAAAGGTGCTCCATCCCTTCGATCATCTTGGTGGCCCTGCCCTGGATTTGCTGCAACCGGTCCATGTCCTTCCTCCTGTGCTCAGGGCTCCAGAGCTGGATGCAGCTCCAGGGGGGTCTCACCAGAGCAGAATAGAGTGGTAGAATCACTTCCCTTGCACTGCTGCCCATGCTGCTTTTGATGCAATCTGGGATACGGTTGACCTTCTGAGCTGCCAGAATTTATGTTTTTAAATGAGGGATAAAAAAGGAAAGGGAGTAGGGAGGGAACCACAAGTAAACAGTGATGCAAAAGAAAACAATTGCTCACCACCAACCGACTGATGTCCAGCCAGTCCCCAAACACCTTTCACCCACTCCCCTCACACTCAGTTTTATTGCTGAACATGACATCATATGTTATGGAATATCCCTTTGGTCAAATGGGGTCAGTTGTCCCAACTTCTTATCCTCCCAACCTTTTGCATAGTCCCAGCCCACTCACTGATGGGGTGGTTTGAGAAAGAGAAAAGATTTTGACACTCTGTAAGCACTATTCACCAATAGCTAAAACATCCCCGTGTTATCAACACTGCTATAACAAACCCAAAACACAGCCCCACACAAGCTACTATGACAAAATTTAATCTCAGACCAAACCAGCAATTCCTGTGGAAGCTGGAAATACCAAACTTTTAGGTTTTGTGTCACCATTCCAGTATTCCCATTTCCCACCAAATGAAAAGCAGCACACATGAACTTTGACCACACTGCTTCAGAGCCTGGCTTATGGATGATCAACTCCTGATGAAGTCCCAGGGCTCTTGTTTAAGAGTACTGAAATTTTTAGTGATCTTCAACTGAAAGTCACTGTTGAAGGGTTGAGGGAGGAACAACACCAGCCCCAGCCTGGACAAAAGGCTTTCCAGAAGAGGATGATGAAAAGCTCCCAGTCTTTTTTTTTTGTCTTTTTTTTTTCCAGAATTGCCCACTGCAAGTCTTGGAGATGGCTCAGATTAAGATGGTAGCAGGCAGCAGGATTAAGTGACCAAGCTCAGTAAGAAAATCATGCTCCTCATGGTTATGGGCAAGCAAAAAATTCTTTTTCCTCCAGTTTTCCACTTGTAAAAGAAGCACAGCAATACTCATTACCTTCGTGATTCTACCAGCCATGGCGAATTTTTGCACACCACTCTGGATGCA